TGCTAGGTAGGGATGGGTCAAGGTTGATGTGGAAGATGGAAAGCCATCCTTTACCAGTCCAGCACAAAGGGATAGGGAGGGCAAACAAACAGGTCTGGAATCATTGAGTTAAGCTAAAATAGACATGGCTGAACCTCAGTGGTCTTTTGAGTCTTGAAGATCTCCTGAGTTTGCTTCAGTCCTGCAGGACTGGCCTGTTGGTATCAAATATAGTCTGAAAGCATGTGAAGGTAGAACTCACCCAGAAAGCACTGAAATCCAGTGTATAACCTCACTTTCAGGAGCAAATCTGGCCTTATACTACCAAATGTAAGTAATTTCTATTATTTTGCCTCTAAGGGTTATTTTTGTGATTACATGAATCCATACTTCTATTCACAAACACAACGCTTTTTAGAACAGCCTGTAGAAAGAACGCGATCTTAATTTTGTAATGTGATCCAAGCTACATGCAGCATCATTGTTGTCAGTTAATCTGTACACAGTAGGCAGTACTGTATGCTCACAACATCTTGGCGGATAAAGGGGACTTTTTCATGGTTTACAGTATTTAGACTTTAAATGGCCTTTAGCAATTAGAGGGCTGGATAGAAGCACAGCTTGGCAGTCCTGAATCTGTTCAGCACAAAGGCACATCCAGCACTTACATAATGCAGTAGGTATGGCCTTGGTTGTCTAATACCTGTCAAAATGTTATGTAAAATGGTGGCTGCCTACAGAAGGCAACATTTGGCTGTTGAGCTGTCTGATTTTTCCTCCATCAGAAATGGGAGGAAAAGAGTGGCTCTGAGGTGCAAACTCCCTCAGAGCCCCAAGTTGGTACTACAGAAGTAACTGGAAGGCTTCTCTTTTTTTCTGCAGATAGAGCTGTTCGAGTTTAAGGGGGAGGATCTCACAGATGATGAAGATGGTGGAATAATCCGAAGAATCCATAAGAAGGGGGAAGGCTACTCCAAACCCAATGAAGGAGCCCTTGTAGAGAGTAAGTCTGTTCAAGGAGTAAGTTGAGAAATAGCAATGGAGGTTGCCTGTGAGTGGGTGGTAAGAGAGTACTTGCATTTCACTTGCACCTCCTTCCTTCAAGACAAGTGAACACATATTTCCTCTTATTAGGTTGTCGAGAACCATTCTAAAACCACCTTTCAGTTTGCAGCTGTTTTGAACTTTGTAACATAAATTTGTTTTTTGTCTGAGTTGCCTATGGTGGTTTTGTGTTGTGTTTTGTTTTGTTTTTATGAACACCAGTCCAGCTAGAAGGTAGACATGGAGAGCGAGTTTTTGACAAGCGGGAATTGCGGTTTGAGATTGGAGAAGGAGAAAACCATGATCTCCCTCCTGGCCTGGAGAAGGCAATTCAGCGAATGGAGAAATTGGAAGAATCCATTATTTATCTCAAGCCCAGGTGAGCATTTTCTGAAATTCTGCTGTTTTACTAGGCTATGACCCTGGGTCAAGATAGCCCCAATACCTGTCTTTGAAGATTCATAGAGTGCCGTACTGGTTGGGGAGAATGATGCTTAATAAATAAGGCGGCCTTCTAATTAATTACAATTCTTTGCCTCTCCTCCATCAGAGTCAATATCTGGAGTGCACAGAAATTCTGATATGTGAGGCATGGAGCTAGCTGAGATCCAGGTTATGGGAAGCAGCATTATGGTCAGGGATACTTTTAGAATGAATATGACCTGGGTTCATTGCTGCTTAGTGACAAAAAAAACAATGACACTCTTACAGAGCTAGATGTCATGTAAGAACAGAGGTATTGCTACACAAAAACAGATCACTGAACTGGTTAATCCAGTTTCTTAATTTTTTCAGGGGCTAGAGAGGTATAAAAACCCCAGGCTGTTCCTAACTGAATACTACATAATTACAATGTCTAATGCCTTGTCTGCCCCTATATGTTGGGTTGGTTTATACCCTGTAGCAGTCAGATGAACTGCCTTTGCTGATTAAAAAAAAATAGCCTTTTTAGCCCAGCAGGCATCCCTACATATACTACTCCTGTTTTTGTAAATGTTGTCATCCTTTTTGTTGCCTCTTGATTAGTTAGTTAGTTAAACACTCTTGATGTGTAGTGATGCTTGAGAGGGAACTTGGGATAAGGAGTGGCCTCAGAAGAATGAAGTTCTTGAGGTCAGCTTTCTAAGCACCACCATTTAAGAAAATGATAATCCTATAAACATTGTGGCTGGAGAGAGAATGTCAGGAAATCAGTTAGGTAGAACAACTATGAACAGTTTGTGAAGCCTTTAGGGAGAAGAGCAAACTTGTTCTGAAATTAGACACGGTTCTAGCCAAAACCCTACTTTGCTGTAGGGAGTTCTTCAGAAACCTCTTTGTATTCTTAAATGAGCTCACAGTTAGTCACCCTGGGGTATGGGGAGCCAAATGCAGGTTCTTGGTAGTCTTGGGTATGAGTAGTAGTCCCTCTTTCCAGTGAAGCAGCACAGAGCACATTATCATACCTGGGCTGGAAGTAAAGAGAGAAGTTTGTCCTGATAGCTTCCATCAAACCCAAGTTGATTTTGGTTTTTGAAACATTTTAAACTGAATACTGTGCTGGCAAAAGGTGCTGGGTAAACAGTCGTTGGCACAAAAGTCCTCTGTCTGTATTGAGCCTAGGTTTAGCATCAGTAGACAAACTTCTTCACCTGGACAGGCTAGACCCCTTAGCTTGGAGGGCTTCTTTTAGGTGGAAGTAAGTAGTTCTTTCTCCAAGCAGGATAAATTATTGGTCTCTTGGCTTCAAGTTAAAGCAGGGGAGCCACCTAGCACCAGTTTATCTTATTTTTACAGTGGAGATGCATCCATGGGAACTGAACTGGCCAGCAAATTTTTCACATAAGCCAAGGATGGTCAAGCTGATGCACAAGTACCATGAGTGGCACAGGCAGCCTCTGCGTGTGGCATGCGCTAGATCAGGGAGAGGACAGACAGCACAGCAGCAAATAGGGGAGGAAGCAGAGAAAGAGTTCAGGCAGGGAGCACAGGGAATACAGCAGAAAGCAGACTGGCAGATCAGGTAGGGAGCAGAAAGAAAAACAGCAGATTGGGCAGGAGAAGGGGATCAGAGTAGCACCCAGATTGTGCAGGGCTTATCTGTAGCATGGCTCCCAAAAACATTGGCCCCCATTGACATACGTTATTCCACAGTCATGAGATAGTAAGAACTTAAAGATGCTGTTGACATAATATTATTACTAATTGGTAACCTAGAAATAAAGGATTTAATTTCAGACCCTTCCAGTTCCCTTATGCCCCCATCTCTGCTGCTTTTAGACAGAAAGCCTGTTTGTGTCATTATCTGTTAACACTGCAGCATACAAGTTTGATACATCTAGTAATGTGTTTTCTTAGTCATTTGTTTCACTAGTATAGAAAACTGGATTGTTTAGAAACAACGTTTTTTCCCTCTCTATTATAGCTATGGTTTTGGGAGTGCTGGGAAAGAGAAGTTTCAGATCCCTGCAGATGCAGAACTGCAATATGAAGTGAAACTCAAAAGCTTTGAAAAGGTAGGAACTGGAGATGGGGTGTCATCCCATGGACAGTCCCTTCCTCAACAAGAACAAAGTTTGGAGTTCAGCTAGCCAGGCATGGGAATAGTAACTTCTGGGTTCCATTCCATGTTCAGCAATAGCCCCCTTGAGTTTCAGCATGATTCCCACCCTCCCAATTCTTCCAGAATCAGAGGGGTGATGACTGATTTGTTTGTCTCGACAGGCTAAGGAATCCTGGGAGATGAACACTGATGAGAAGCTAGAACAAAGCTCCATTGTGAAGGAGAGAGGCACTCAGTACTTTAAGGTAAAAGTCCTCCCTGTTTATTGTCAGTTTTTCCCACCCTTATACGCTGATGCAGAATGTAACACACTGCTGAAGAAGAGAATTTTTTAATCTGGTGCTGAAGAATGGCACTGGAATATGGCTGTCCCTTTAGGGAGCTCTCCACAGTATCCAGTCTGTATTTTCCCTGGATCTAAAAGGCTGTAGCATGACGTTTCATAGGAAGCTCTTTCTTGTACCCAACTCGGTATTTTCTTGAGCTACAGTGACTGTAGTCAGTGGTGCTGGACCTTTGCAGCTCTCCTCCTCCAGGTAGTTCTGCATGGTACCTGAACTGAACTTTGTCTGATTGAAGTGATTTTGGGGCTTGGACAAGAAATCTGTGGCAAAGCTAAAAGACTTGAATTTGATGTCATGAGACAGGGCTGTTAATGGACTATGATTCTATCTAGAGAGGGTGCCTGAAGATGCTGTGTTAAAACTGGGTCCCCTCAGGGGAAACTCTGGCTGGATCATGGTAGATTCCAACATGGGAGCCCCAAAGACCAGAGTGGTAGCCCTGGTATCCTTAGGGTAATAGTATGTTCATTGCTTTGCATGTAGATATTTCTGGTGCAGAGGGGATAGTGGCAGCCTGCCTCTTCCTCTGTTTCAAGCATTTAACACCTATGGGAGTAGCAGGGGAGAGACCATACTATACACCCCAGGAAGAACTGAAGTGTGTTCTAGGCATCTTGCACTGATACAGGAACTTACTAGAAGCTGGTGATAGGAGTATTTTACCTTCCCCAGTAACACTTGGGTGGCATTTGGCTATAGAAAACATTTTATGTTTATGATAAGATGGCTTCTAGGTTAAATTGAAGGGACAGGAACATAGTGAAGCTAAATTGTTTTGGGGTCCCTTGACTACAGGAAGGGAAATACAAGCAGGCAACACTACAGTACAAGAAGATTGTTTCATGGCTGGAGCATGAATCAGGGCTTTCTGAAGAGGATGATGCGAAAGCCAAAACCTTGAAGCTTGCTGCCCACCTTAATCTGGCCATGTGCCATCTGAAGCTGAAGGAGTACTCCCAGGCTTTGGAAAACTGCAACAAGGTAACAAGGTTTTTCACATTAGCTGTTGCTTTAACTGGAACACAAATCACTGTGTTGTTTGTTCCTCTTTTACCTACCCACATTGGGAGAGTAGCTAACATCCAATTCCTCAACTGAAGCCACAATTGCTTTTACCTTCATTGTGCTTGAAACATCTTAGAATGTACTATCTGATAGTACTTGGGAAAGTTAAATGTAGAGGTGCACCGATACATCCATATAGTATCAATATGTGCGTAGCCACGGCATGCATGTGGCCAGGACTGCAGCCTGGCAGCTGGTAAGTTGAGAGAGACCATGGAGGAGGGAACAGCTTGGGGGAGGGGGCAGATGGAAACCACCACAGTGAGGGAGGGAGTGGGGCTGGGGCAGGCACAGGTACTGCACAGCCAGGGTGGGGCACAGGATGGAGCCCCAGGCAGCTGTTAGGGGTGATGGACAGCTCCCACTGCTGTGCACACCCCCATAGGAGGCATTGGGGGGGTGCCCCCAGCTCTGTGCACAAGGCAGAGGTGGGCTGCCACTGCAAGCTGGGGCAGTGCTGGGGTCTTCCT